GAGGAGAGCATTAAACCTTTATTTAGGATTACGAGTTTTAAGATTTAGTTTCAAACTATATATGGTTCGTGACTTGACAATCAACTAACCAATAGCATTTTACTAGGGACTTAATTATCATTATGAAAATGGGATCAATCATACATTTTTATATTTTATATTCTTAAATAATGATGATATTTCTCCAAATGTTTGATCTATATATTCTTTCTTTATGTATCATCTCGATCGAACGATTGTCAAAAAAATTAAAAGGGTTGATAGACTTAAACGTAACATGAAAATTTAAATAATCAAATATGAATATTCCGACCAATGGGCCGGATTATAAGCTAGTATGTAACAGAGGATTCAAATCGCTCCTAACCGCTCATCAATTATTAATTATGGTGCATATAAAAATTTTACTTTAAATTGAGAATATTAAAATATATAGAAAGACATTTTGCAAATGTACTTTTTTTTCTTATCAAATAATGGAACGATTCAGAAAGAATCCTTAACCGAGTTATAAAAAAGTTAGTGTTATAAAGTGGTCATCAAAGTGGGCCATTATCTCTAATGAAAGAGAATGATCTTTCAAAGAACTGCCTAAACAATTACTTCATTATATCATGAGTGACCTTGATCTCTCGATCACATTGAAGAGGTGAGCAAAAGGAAAGGACGATGTTGGCATGCTGCAGGTTCGTTGCCCTTGTCGGGGAAGAGGTTAGAGTACTAACTTCATAAGAGTTAGCATCGTGATAACTACTCTAATCATCGTCCATTTTTGTAAGTTGAATCTAACGGTGGTTAGTAATGAATGTTTGCTCGGTATTTCACAAAATTAAAAGTAATAAATAAATTAAAATATATTTTCGCTCTCCTTTGTGTATAAGTCATTTTTATCGAAAAATATGATTTTGGGGTTGATAGTAGTCCCTTTTGAATTTAACTGTTAAGCATAGTGATTTAAAAAAAAAATTCTAGTAGCAATTTAATGGTCATCAGTGGTGATTTAGAAATTTTCTGGTAGCAATTTAATTGTCATTAGTAGTGATTTAGGAATTTACTTGTACTGTGTAGTGATTAAAATAGGTAGTTATACAAGAACCACTACTACACCATAAAACCTCAACTATATATGTAAACTCGCTACTAATATAAACCATTGCTATTCAGAATAATTATCACAAATCTTAAAACATTACTACTAATATAGAAAATTACTACTACTATTTGTAACAACTCTCATTGTCACTGTAGATCTGATTGTGAAATCTGGAGATCCGCCAACATAGAGGGATGCTGGGGTAGTGGAGATCGATGCGGTGGCTAGACGGCAGCGTTGTCATGGCTAGTAGAGATCTGTCAACATTGTAGAAATCCGCCAATTTTGACGGCTTGAAGAGATGCGACGACATGACGACGGCGTTGCTTGGGACAGATCCGAGATTAGTTGAGGGTGACCAGGGACTGGGAGGATGGAATTGACGGCGAAGTTCCTAAGTAGTTCAGGGTGGCCATCCTCTGTAATCGACCATTAAAGAGGCGGAAGCGGTGGTAGAGCGAAGGAGATTCGGGCGCAGGCGATGATGAGGCGACGACGCCATGGCAGATATGGAATAGACAGGGGAAAAGACGGTTTCTGGTGGAGAGAAGAAGACGATTTATGGAGGAGAGGGAGTGGAAAAGACGTGAAAGGTAGAAATGTGTATTTATATAAGGATTTAAGAGCATAATGACTAAACTGCTCTTTAATTAATTCTGGCCCTAGGATTAGTTTTTAATTTAATGGGAATTAACTTAGTTAGTATAATGCTAACCCTGGGGTTAGCAACTAAACTCATTCACCCCTGTGGCTATTGTGAGAGTGACCTGCTACTGTCGAGTCTAACTGAAGCTTAACATTCCTATGTTTCGTGGCCTAAGTAAGCTCAATATTTTCAAATATACTCTTTAGTTCCTCACAAGTGATTGTACATTTTTTTAGGTTCATCGTGTACGCCTACGATAAATGACCCTTCCGGTCTCTAAGTTCACCTCCTTTAGCAATAAACTAGTAAGGACGCATGAGCAATCCATAAAAGTCCAATGTGATCCACCTACCAGAGTTGATCTCTGCCCCATGGTCATATATCAACACAATCCCAACCTCCCCAATAACATGGCTTGTTGCCTTGTTCATGTGTTTCACTAACTCGGGGTAATGATTTCGCAATCTAGGATTTTTTGCGTATCGACTATTTACAGATGTTTTCATTTTAAAATATATGATTTTTCATCTCTTAATAGAAGGTAGCAAAGTTTATTTTTGTGTGTATGAGATGAAATATCCATGACCCATCTCCAATGTTGAGTCAGTGTCACATTTTTTTGAAAGAATTATGAGGTGATATCGATTCATTTTCAATGCTACTTAAATTATTCAAACATGTAACCTCTAAATTAAAGACCAACGAAAAAGCTTTGTTTGAACTTAATAGATATTCAATTTATTTTTATCGTACCAACTCAACCATGAACTAAGTGTGGCACACAATTAGCGGTTAAACCATTAAACTAACCGATAACCGATGGTTAACGGTTATATTGTTAACCAATTATAAGTCAGCAGTGCAGAAACTGGTGGGCTGAAATGGCTTTGGTAATCGATAACCAAATAGTCGATCAACAGTTAACCAATAATTAACCAAGTATAAATACCCATGATTGTCAAACTATATCGAATGTTGTAATGGAAAAGTCAGTGGCAAGGTATTTTATGCTGAACTATGATTTAAACGTTTCATATCACTAAAATTGCCTGAAGACGTAGGTTCTAATAGGCGGGGTTTTTTTTGTCAAACCACATGTACGATGCAATTTTGAAAATAATGAAAAAATACCTATGTTTCTCTCCCCCAAAACAACCACGTCCCTCCCAAACAAACTCGTGAACTTCGAACAAGCATTCTACTCACTATTCTGTCCCTACCATGGAAATGTAAGCATAAATGTTGGATTGAGAATATCATATGACTTATGTTGGAGGAAAGATTGCAAAGAGTGGCCCCAAGAATTTCTTCTATGAATGGCTTCTCTCACCCAGTTCACACGCATCACTCTTCCCCTTTCTTCTCTTCGCTTTTCTTCTCTTAGTGCCAAGAGGAACAATAAGCTAGTCTAAAATCACTAATCCCATCGCTCTCCAAAGACCGGGCCACCAACCAATCTAATCCACCTCCATAGCGGAGCCCCTCCTGCCACCAAAACCTTCATCAGTCACTATCTATTCCTCCTCAGTCATTCACAGCCCCGCTAAGTAAGGATCTACCAGTAGCTTGAGCTTGAGTAAAAAAAATGTTGGACGAATTTGATGTCGAGTCCGTCTCCAAAAGGTTGGAGGTGCATAGCCAAAACCACTCATCTTCGGTATTTGCGCATTGGAGGTAGGGATGGCAATTTCGACCTGGACCGTTTTACCCGATGTGTTTGACCTATTTTGGGGCGGGGCGGGCATGGGTACCTCTCATCGACCCGACCTGTCCTGACCCGCCCCATTCTTTACCTGTTCTTGCCTAAATTACATGTAATCTTAGTCAAATTACTTAGGATTTTCCATTTAATACCTCATATTTTAGCGGCTTAGGATAGAGTCAGTAACCAATGGTTAATGACCTATAAGTAACTAAATCTGGACCTTTAGATCTAAGTGGGTCCAGAAAATTCAGATCTAAGGGTTGCCAATTAAAAGCATTTTATTTTTCCTAGTTTTCTTAATCGGCTCTTATCTTCTTCGTTCTAACTCGGATTTCAAATTTTTTTTTTTTTTTTTTTGCACATATGGAACGAGTTCGTTGTGCTCTACAAAATAAGATCAATTTACAATATATTTTGAGAAACTTATTTTACCAACTACATACCATATGGTAACTTCTTCGTTTTTAAGTCGTTTTTGAAAACGTTTGCTTAGAAGTAATGAGTTCATCATAATCTATTGGATCTATAAATTTCTGGGTGAAAAAAATAATGGATCAAATATTACCATACTTTACCACTATGGTATGTGGGTGCTAACTTGTGGTAACTTGTAGTAAACAATGATGAAAGTCGTAAATGATAGTTAGTATACTCCTACTATCATGTATTCAACCTTTTTACCATATTGGTATGTTCATACCATCATGGTACGCTTTCTTACCATATGGTATTAAATAGGAGCATACCATATGGTAATGACTGGTAAAAAATTATTCAATTTTTTTGTACTAATAAATATATCAAAGTGGATATCATTTTAAAGAGCACATTTAATCTGATCTTTCTGTGCAAAAAAAAAAATCGTCTTAAAACGAGAGAGAAGTCGTCCATTAAAGATTGAAAAGAAAAAGATAAAAGACTTTCCAGGAGAGAGGATACTGATGTCATGCTGATGTGGACAGGTTACTCTTGGTTACTAACCATAGAGTTACTGACATGATCTGTTCCCTATTTTAGCTATAATAAAGTCGTAAATAAGTAAAAACCTCAATTTCTCCAATAATTTAACTACATTTTATCATGTTATGGGTTTTTATTAGTCTTTTAATGAAAATAACAAACATTTCTAATGTTTTAATATATAAAAAATAACATATACATTGGGTCGACCTGCCCCGATCGCCCCCATGATAAATTACCCGACCTGAACCCAACCTGGTATGGGACGGGTATGTGTATCGAGATACCCACCCCGAACCTTCTCCATTGTCATTCCTATTCGGAGAAAGTGATGGTGGTAGATCAAAGGGTTCCAATCTACGTGAATTGCAGAAAATAATAGGTTATCGATCAATTAATTTGGAACCATTCCAAATAACTTACTTGTCGAATAGACAGACTAATCTACTAACATAAACTATACAGTTAGCACGTAGTGATAAGCACAAATTAATTAAACAACTAAATGAAAATCAAATAAACGATTCCGATTATAATTTAACCTACTAACAAAATTATAATCAAACCGAGTAAGACGCTTACGGCTTACCCATTACGTGGCCTACACATAACGTATCTTTTCTGCCCTTCCTTTTTTCGGTAAAAATCTTTTCTACTCTCTGTAATCTGTATGTTGCGTAAGGTAAAAAAAATGAAGGAAGGATGATGCAACATATTGCCGTTCGGTGGGGCCAAGCATCCCTCCAGCCGTCCGTTCCTCACCGTACGTCTTTTAACCTCCCTCTGCCTCATCCTTTCGTACACTCAGTCACCACCACCTCTGTTGCTTCATTTACTGCAACGTCTAGTAATGAGTAACCCCTCTGCTTGCTTCTAGCTGCAACATATCAGAAGCATTCCCACAGTAAAAATTAAGCAAACAGCTCAACTACTGTCCGCTCCAGCGTAGTTCTAGTCTCTGTATTTGCATGGCTACGGCAGATCTTGAACCACCGCTTGTAATTAACAATCAAAACCAACTACCACCGCTGCAACAACACCACCAAGAAGAAGGAGAAGAAGAGGAAGAAGAGGAGGTGGAAGAAGAGAAAGACGTGGACGAAACCTGCCCACCTTTGCCTTCTTCTTCTCCTTCTTCTTCTTCTTCTTTTTCTACTTCCTCTTCTCTTGACACATCTCTCCTCAGGAATCTCTACATTGCCCAATTCTTGGCCAGATGGGATGCCAGGTGAGGTTATTTGTTGCTCTCTTCTCTTCTCCACGTGATCGCTACTATTCACTTTACTTCATCTCTTCGCACTCTTTTTTTCCCCGGCGTTACATGGGCTGGCGAAACCATGCAGGATGTGGGAATTCTGTGTGGGGCTGTACATGATCAATCTTTGGCCCAGATCTTTAGTCCTGGCAGCTGTTTACGGTGCTGTTGAATCTGCTTCCACTGCACTTTTTGGTCCAACAATCGGAGAATGGGTTCAACGCCTCACTTACGTACAGGTTGGTTTCACCAATCGATCAGTTCTCCCCTACTTCTGATGCTCTACTGTTGCATTCATGCCAACCTTGGTACAATTTTTTGGGTACTTGGACAGGTCCTCCGGCTCTGGTTAGTGGCTCAGAATCTCTCTTTCATGGTTGCTGGTGGCACTGTCGTCGCCTTGTTCCTCTTTCCGACTCTCAAGTCCACAAACTTCACAGCCTTCATCTCGCTGGTTGCATTGGCCAACGCCTCTGGCGTCGTTGGCTCCCTTTCCACTCTTGCTGGCACCATCTTGATAGAAAGAGAATGGTTAGATTATTTACTGCCGTTGGCTCCCTTTGATGATTACCACACCGTATGTGGCGACTGTCTGAAATTACTGTTTTTCACAGGGTAGTGGTGATTTCGGAAGGCCATCCTCCAGATGTGCTAACAGAGACCAACTCAACCATCAGACGGATCGATCTGACCTGCAAGCTTCTGGCACCAGTGGTTTCTGGTTTCATCATCAGCTTTGTATCATTAAAAGCATCTGCCATAACTTTATCCTGCTGGAACATTGCAGCAGTAGGGCTGGAATACCTGTTCTTCATGTCTGTGTATAAAGGGATCCCAGCTCTAGGCGAGAGTAACAACAAAAAGAGGGATTCAAGATTGTCGCCACCAAGAGGTGATCCTCATGGTGCAGGATTTGAGAGTAAGGAATGGAGAGCCAAAGTATGTGAATGGTTCTACAGCCTCAACTTCATTAGCTCTTGGAGAGTGTACTTGAAACAAAGTACTTTGCTCCCTGGTGTAGCTCTTGCTTTGCTGTTTTTCACAGTCCTCATGTAAGTGTGTGCGACGCGTGCGTGCATTCTGTTTCAAAGTTATGCCGAATTGATGACCTGCTTTTTTTGCCCAGCTTTGGCACCCTGATGACAGCAACATTAGAGTGGGAGGGAATTCCTGCTTACCTAATTGGGATAGGTCGAGGTGTAAGCGCCATCATCGGAATATCTGCTACTTCTGTATACCCAATCATGCAGTCTCGGCTTTCAACTCTCAGAACGGGACTTTGGTCTGTATGGTATCAGGTATTCCAAGCTCCTACTAAAAGGTTTACCTATATGCTAGAAAGGGTTCAGTATACTGAAGATCACACAATATCAATTCGATGCAAAATATGAAATTCATGCAGTGGGCTTGCCTTGTTGTATGTGTGGGTGGAATATGGGTCCATAGCCAGAAACTATCTGCATATATGCTCATGGCTGGAGTCGCAACTTCTCGACTTGGCTTATGGATGTTTGACTTATCCGTGGTCCAGCAAATGCAGGTCAAAAATGAATTCCTGACCAAAATTTTCCCTCTTGTAGTTGTTTTACCCCAGATGCTTATGATTCCTTTTGTTATGATCTTCCCTTGTGCCAAATGAATTGAAGGATCGTGTTGCTGAATCTGATCGTTGCATTGTCGGAGGTGTTCAGAACTCTCTTCAATCTGCTCTTGATCTGCTGGGTTATGTGATGGGCATAATCATCTCAGGCCCAAAGGTAGTTATCACAGCCTTTGAAACACTGTACAAATTTCAGTTCACAATTAACGTGACATTTCTGATAGACATAGATATAACTACCACTAAACCTTCTTTTCTTCACTGTTTATCAGGATTTCTGGAAGCTGAGTTTGATATCCTTCGCTGCTGTAACCATGGCTGCCCTTCTGTATAGCATACATACATACCGGGTCCGAAAGCACCTCATTCACTTTGAAAAGCTTATTATGCTGGCAAGACGGCAAAAAAGGTCGCCTGGAACTGCATCATCCACTGCGTGAAGAAAAGCTGAAATGAGGGAAGCTTACTACGATTTCATCAAGCTCGCGACTTAAGACCCGCTATATTTGTGACGAAAATAGCCAGAAGTTTGATGAATTGAACCGTGTACTCTGGCTCTCAGAAGTCAGCAACTTCTATAATTATGAATACAACAATTACCCATTTTGAAGGGGTTTAGATGGTGAAGCCATACTACATCGTCATTTTAACCTCCGGCTGCCTCTCTACATTACAGTTGCAACTCCCAAGTGGATTTGAGAAAATAAACAACAGCCCGAACCGAAAAGACAATCACTAATCAGCTTTTTCACTAACACGGTTTACTACATTTTACAAGTCCAGGCCAGCTGCCATTGCTCCGTGATGAGTTGAAGTCCTCCCTGTTTAAAATCAGAGACAAACACAGTACTCATTGGTTGCAACACCTAGCCATCGCTAAGTAGACTATTTTTCAAATTCAGATTACCCACCATGAGATCCTATGTGCACTTGATAAATTTCAAGAAAGTCAAAACACTTTCAGTCCTACCATGTACGAAGGCATAAAAATGAATTGTGTGCAAAAAGGCAAATACTTACAGCGCGTAAACCTTACTACAAATTCTCTTTGCATGTTGACTTGTTGTGTCCAAGACCTTTGCATCTGCTGCACTGGAGTTGACGTTTCATAGTCTCCTGCGTTACATATTTCTTTGTGGTGGGCCGTCCAGGGGGACGCCGAGTAGGAGGAGGGGTGATAGTCACTACTCCTCCGTTCAAAGGCTTTCTCTCACTAGGCCTCTCCACTTGTGGTATAGGGTGGACCGACTCTGAATAAGTTAATCTGTAACAATCGGTAGAGAAATACCTAGAACAATAATCATAAGGACTCCTGCCAATGCAACCTATCACAGCAAGTGCATGGGAACAAGGTAACCCACTAAGCTGCCACCCTTTACAGCTACAATCCCAGTGGTCAACATCAACAACTTCAGCGACCGATTCCCCACGAACCTCAAATGTGTTGCCAGCTGAGAGAAGCACCTGAAGTGCGCCAATGCTTAGGTTCTCCTTATCCAACTTCTCCTCCATAGAAGGAGTTAACTTTGTCAGCCACTGATCACCATTTAACCTCCTTGCATAGACTAACTCTGCGATTTTCCCCCTCAATACATCAACCATCTGTGTTATTGGTAGTTCATCAGCATCTGACATCCAACTATAGAAGAGCTCTCCAAAATTTGATGTCATATGATTGTATCTTGCCCCCTGAAAGAATGAGTTGGCCCAGTTTTGGGGCTCACTGTGCATGATCCAACTATAGGTTTTTGGGGAAATGCTTTTGATGCTCTCAATGCACTGCTGAAATGCCTCTGGCCTAGGTGCATAGGCAGCTCCATATAAATCTTCAATAATGAGTCTCTTCACTTCGTGTGAGAACTGCCCCTTCAGCTCTCTAAAAAGTTGCTCGGTCAGGTATCTTAAGCAGTAACCATGATGAGAGCCTTCGAATACCTCAGCAATCGATTCTTTCAGACCCTTCTGTCGGTCTGCAACAAATGTCAGTGGACAAGAAGTTGGCAGAGCAGTTTTCAACTGCAGCAAAAACCAATGCCAGTTTTCATCAGTTTCTGTATCCACCACAGCAAAGGCCACAGGGAAGACTTCATCATTTCCATCTGCAGCAGTTGCAGCCAACAATGCACCCTGGTATTTAGACTGCAAAGATATACTGTCAAGGAAAAGCAGAGGCCTACATCCTTGGAGAAAGCCAGACAAGGAGGCATGAAACGAGACAAACAGGCGCTGGAAGCTAGAGTCCTCCTCTTTAGTAGTAAAAGTAGCAAGACTTCCAGGATTAGTCTCAACTATCTGGTCACAGAGCAAGGGCAGCTGATTGTATGCATCTTTGAATGAACCCTGGAGTTGTTCTTTGGCAATTTCCTTCCCCCTCCATGCTTGGAAGTAGTTCAGTTGGACTCCATACTCTTGCTTGATGTCGTTCACAATATCCTTGGGCTTGTAATTTGGGAAAACTTTCAACTTCTCCTTAATTATGCTAGCCACCCAGCTTCGAGTCGCTTGGTTCCCGGTTGTAAGCACTGAGCCATCACATGTATGTGTAGGGTTCATCTTCTTGATACAAATGAGCTGAGTATCCGACAACCGGGAAGCATGAATCCTCCATGGACAACCTTCAGCTTTGCATTTGACAGTGACTCTATGGCTGTCGTTCTTCTTGTACTTGAAAGCAAACTGATGGGCAATTGCATACCTACGCAAGGATTCCCTAAATTCATTGACATTGCTGAATCTCTGACCCACACCAGTGATAGTGTCCTGCCACTGCTCCACAGCTTTGACATGATGCTTCTCGTTGCTGGAAGTGGAAGCCATTAGAGGAAGAAGCGGTGACATTTCTTGAGGTAAATCGATGTGGATATCAACCTGGCTGGTGGTGTCATCAACAATATCCGCAAGAGTTATATCATGGTGGGCATCTATAACATCTTCTCCTTCAGCATCAGGGACATGGTCAGTCGCTGGAGGCAACTGCTGTGCTTCGGAGAGAGTGGTTCTGCTTGATCTATACAAAGGAACTCTGAGCTAAGAATCAACTATTTTTAAGAAGATGGTTTTGAAGTAGAGTACAGTAAAGGGCATGATTACCTGCTAGCAGGGAAGCTAGAGAAGTCAGGGAGAGGGGGTTGGTCGACGAAGACGTAGACATCAATGGTGAGGGAATGGGAATGGAAGCGGAGCATGCGTTGAAAGTCCTTGTCGTTGGAGATGGTGATAAGGGTCTTCTGGTTTCCGGGGAGGAAATACTTAAGAGAGATGTTGGAGTTGAAGGTGGCGCCCCCACCGCCGCCACAGTTGAACATCTCTGCGACTTCCATCCTGAAGTCAGCAAAGTTCACTTGATCGTCGATGTCAATGGCGTGAGCATCTCCGCCTCTGTAGGACAAGGAACCGTCGTTTTCGGTGTGGAATTCTCCCCCCAGCTGACAAATCGCAATGGTTTTCGCCCCTGCCATTGCCATGATCCTGAAGGGTCGAGAGGTCTGTATATGTACAATTTTTACAGTAAGATTTGGAGGCATTCGCCGTCATCGGCATCGAATCTAAAATACCACTCCGAAATGGGGCCCGTTTTATTCAGGCAGGGCAGAGGGTCGGGGGAATGTTCTTGAATCTGCAGTGAGGGAGACAAACCTGGTGGCGGCAGCGGCGGCGCGAGGGGTCGGGAGGGAGGGGTGAGTCTGAGTCGAGCTTCTCCACCGCCGGTGTGTAATGGAGAGGGGAGCGGGGCAGCTGAGGTGGTGACAATGGCGATGGTGTTGCAATCGAATCGAACCCATCAAATCATTCTACGGAGGTGATTGAGACACGCAGCTTGAAGAGTGCGGGGATTGAATTGATTGCGTTTGCAGCAGGCAGCTCAGCTGGAGAAAATTGACAAGGAATTGAACAACTTCTGTTTTAGGGTTTTCTTCATTTTCTTATTTGGGATTGGGAGGGAACGGAAACTCAATTGGTATGCGAGACAATTTCATTTGGTTAATTACACTAATGTAATCTTTTCAGTACAACACCAATTTTGAGAAATTTATTTTAAAATAACATTTTTTTTTTAGTATTTTAAAAGTTCATTTTAATTCTAAATTTTGAATACTACGAAACCAGAACTAGTTCTAGCAATTTTTGAGAAATTGATATAGAATTTCCAAATGAATTCCACACGTATTTTTTTAATTATATAGAATTACATAATTATTCTCATTAATTAACTAAGTTCTTATGCGTATATTATTTGACGTAGCGCGCCTAACCTACTCTTTCCGCCGATATGTTAACCTAATATATATAGTTTCTCCTTAACTTACAATGAAGGTCTTTAGAGATGGATCTTCAACTTGTTCACTAGTTTTTTCCGAACTTATTTTTTAGCTTTGTCTTATTGGTTGGATAATAATTGTATCACTTGCATTTTTTAGAAAATGGATTTTAATGAATATTGTTTATGCTAAAAATTAAATACGGTGTAGTTGGAAATTTAATTCAGTTTCGTGTCTTTTGCTCCTCGGAGTTTTCATAGAGCTGCCCACCTCGTGGCATAACAGGCTCTTTTATCGGGAGTCCGGTTGCATACGGACTACCGTTCCTTTTTTTTTTTTTTAGTTGTATATTGTTGTTGCCCGGCCATGCCCCAGGGGCTTATCTTGGATAAAAAAAAACATGGATTGACAAGTCAATTCATTTTATTTCTAAATATTTGAATATGAAATATCTAACACAAGAATTGATTTGACAATGATTTCTAAATCGTAATTCATTTTAAATTGAATTATTGTCTAAATTCATTTGATACTAAACGGTCTACAATTTACAAAAACATCATAAAATTATAAATGAATTTTATGTTTTTGGAACTTAAAAAAATTTCAGTTTAAATTACTAACAAGGTGTAGGGTGGTTGATCGCCTCGTTTTGTTTGATCTTTTTATATGAGAATATAGTTTATTTTGTGACTAGTTGTTTATTGCTTTGTCCGTGGGAGTGATTAATCACTATTATTGGTGGTGAATTTCATAGTATTTTTTTTTAGAAATGAATTTCAAAGTATTACAATTACACCAAACAAAAGACTTCTTTTCATAATGAAACCAGTTATATGACTTCTCCATTACTAACACATTTTCATTTGGTTGGGTAAAATACGTCGGGTACCACTTAAGTTTAAGAATTGGGGTAGACATACCACTTAAGTTTTAATGGGGTGTCGGATACCAGGGTAAAATACCTCGGGTACCACTTAAGTTTGAGAATTGGGGTAGACATACCACTTAAGTTTAAATAGGGCGTCGGGTACCATTAAAGTCGACAAAATATGCATCTGTCTACTTTTCCATCTAACCCAAACTTTTAATTTCTTTTTGGTACCCAAAATTTTTTAAAACATTCAAAACTATATTTCCACGAGTTTTATCTAATATAAAAATTAGAAAACCTTCTAAGTATATTATCACTAAAATGGCTAATCAAAAATTTTCATAAAATAGATAAATTAGTAAAAATATTAAGCAATATTAAGAAAATTAATATATACATTAGAATAACATAATGAATATTTAAAATTAATATTATAATATCTATTTAAACACCCTAATTCAATTAGAAGCACCATTAGAAATATTTAAAATAGAACCTAATCGATCATCAATACATCAAAATCAAAGAAAGATAAATGGAACACAATCATAAGAAATAAAACATATCCCAGTAATTGAAAAAGAACATTTAGAACGAAAAGAGATGGAAAGTAATAAAGTAATAAATGAACTATAAAAGCGGTAGAAAATAAAATATGATTATAGTAAGAGAATTAGAATTACTAAATTTAACTAATATGAAACATCTACAATATAATATTAGAGAATTAAAATTAGATTTAACAAAGAAAATTGGATAATATCACCATAGTGTAAGAGAACTAAATATATCAAGATAGAATTCATAAGAGATATTATTTATATCAAGATAGAATTCATAAGAGATATTTGATTCAGAAAATTATTCAATTATAAGAACACGCAATCATAATTGAAAATACTTATAATGATAATTGATTCTAAATTTTCTATTGAAAATTGATTTGATATCAAGTATTCAAAAGAGGATTCCAATTAAATAAAAAATATATTATGTTTTCCTAAGTCCAAATGATTTTTTAACAATAAGATAAGTAGAAGGACCAATTATGAAATTTAGAAAATGGAATATTCCAGGAATATTATGTCAACTTTAACGCAATGCACATAGCAGTAAACTTAAGTGGTACCGATTGCACATATAATAGAGTTCAGTGGTACCTGACGCCCTATTCAAACTTAAATGATATGTCTACCCCAATTCTCAAATTTAAGTGGTACCCGATGTATTTTACCCTCATTTGGTTTAGGTTAATAATCTTTGAAATGATTGTCAATGTTTGTTTGACCAGTAAGAAGTCATGTTGACATATATTATGCTTCTACCATGACAATCAACCAAATATATGATACCGTCTTAAATATTTTATTTCCACCATTCTAAATTTTCTGCAACAAGAGTGATTGTAATTAAGAAATAAATTAGAGTTTTTTAATTAAAAACAAAAGGTAAATTAATCTTCCCTTTAATTAGAGCACTCCACGTGTCATGTTCTCTCTCCTCATTCTTTCCCCATCAACTTTAAATTTTAACATTCTTCCACGAAAAATTCAAAAAGAAAAAACGATTTAACGAGTCTATAAAATGGTGCAACAGCCCAATTTAGTTCACACTGGCACATAGAGCCAGGGACACGCTGAAACACTGGATTGAGCAATCTCTGGAACAACTCCTTTATAAACTCGCACTGAGCAAATAAATAATCATGTGTTTACACCTCATGAGCGCAGAGGACACAATGAACAAGGCCACTATATCCCCAAGATAGCATTTTATCTCGAGTAGTAACTTTATCCTTGAGAATCATCCAAACAATGAATCGATTTCTAGGGACTCCTATTCCTTTCTAGATCAATGGATACCATGTCACCTTAGGCAATTTTGGTCTAAACACCTCCCAAACTTTCTTAACAGAATATTTCTCCATAACCACACCATCCCAGTAAACAGAGTCCCCATTAGCATTAAATGAGCTTGCACACGATCCCTCAACTTCAGTAGCTTCCTCCAGTTCCAAGAGCTAGCCTTACTCGAGAACGGCCAAAAAGGCTGCCCCTTGAGCTTATAGGTATGCAATCAAGCCACCAAGATGGAACTAAGAGCTTTTAAGATCTCCCAAATATGCTTGGTGGAGCAAGTCTGATTCTAAGAAAATAGATCCCTAACACCCCCCCCAATGTAGTCAAAATCCCGATTTTAATCTTAAAATCTTATGATTTTACGATCTTACCTATGGGTTCCGATCATGATTTTATTGTAAATCTTTGAACCTTAAAATCCCATAAAATTCCGATTTAAAACTCTTAAATCCTTAAAATCTACGATTTCTACGATTTTGTACGATTTCAAGGTTCACATCAATTGGAGCAAAATGAGGTTGGTCAAGTCCAGTTCTGTCCATAAACCAAGTCAAGTTTATTTCTCACGACCCAACATAATGAACAACGCAACCCTAACCCAATAGACAACACTCAATTTATTTTCATTCTCTTCCTCGTATCTTCCTCTTTCGCACGTCGACGCCCAACTCCTTCCTTCAACGATATCTTCCACTCTCCCAATTAGCTTGTAGGTTTTTCCCACCACCCTCACAAAAATCCAAATCTCCATTCCATTGCAATCTTTCGTTCATCTCTCAAACCTTCAGCAACACTATTCCCGACCTTTTATCAATTAAGAAGGGAATGCACCAATCAATGAGTTATCTTTGTGATCAAGGAAATATGGTTAATGGTGAAAGTATTTCAAGTGATCTTAAGAGTAATTATATTAGTCCTTAAGCAAATAGACAAGGATGAGAGTTAGAGTGAGAGTGAGGGTGAGGATGATGATGTGTAAGTGATATTAATGTTAATCCCTAACGATCTTATGTAATTTTCTACTCTTAACTATTAATTAAGTGATTTCATTGGGGTTTCAGGTTGCTTATTTGTGTGTTTATATTATGTACAAGAATAGATATATGGATTTAGTTGTATTTATTTAGCAAACAAACTTATCTTGAAAAGTAATTATGTTATATGTGGTTGATTGTTATTCAGGATATGCATTTTTATTACTATCTGGTGTTTTAAGTGATTATTTAATATGAACCTTAAAATCTTACGATTTTACGATTTTAATCTACGATTCTGATTCTACCTTAGTTTTCGATTTTACTTAAAATCCCGATTTTGACTGCATTGCCCCCCCCCCCCCCCAACTTTTGTGTAGGCAAGATGAGGCCAAACAACCCTTTGTTTAAGCCATGTACCAGATCCAACTCACCAGACAAAATTACTACATATCCTCTCCACTTCCTTAAGCACAGTATTAGGCAACAAAAATATAGACATCCAATATTGAGTTATACTAAAAAGCACAGACATAACTAGTTCCAATTTACCAGCATAGCTCAACGATTTAGCTTTCCAACCCGAGATCCTTGCTGTTATTTTATCAATCAGAGGTCGACAAGAGCCAACCTTACGCTTACCAGCTACCAAAGGCACACCTAAGTAGAGAACTTGAAACCTACCAAGCTTGTAACCAGACCAAGAAGCCATGTTGTCCTTCTGAGATTAAGTGAGGCCACCACAGAATAACTCACATTTACTAGGACTAGAGCTAAGTGCACACAGACTTTTCAATCTATCCAGCACACTCTTAATACATTGTAGCCCAACATTTGATCCATCAGAGAAAACTAATAAATCATCCACAAAGCACAGATGTGTCAAACCAATACGCTTACACATTGTGTGATATGGAAATTGACCTCTTACAGAG